CAGCCAATGAGAAAAAAGGGATCGGAGTCACTTCCTGAGGGTCATATCAGCCCCCAAAACATGAGGAGGAAAAAGGGAAAGGGATTGCACCAGGAGAGGGGAACATGTTTGGTCCGAAACAGGGATTCAGATGCTGTGTGTGGTCAGTCACAAAGGGAGATAATGTTCAGGGATTTAAAGTTGTGAAGCCAGGCATAGCCAGAGTTAGCTGGGACCTTATTGCCCCCAGGGCAGATCTTGAACTCGCCGTTAAATAAGCCTAGACCATAATCTCTCGGATCCTGTATTTGTTTATAAAAGAAAATTCCTCCAAAAACCCTCCAGCCCACACAGACTCAAGGACGCTAACTCTGAGAATAACTATTGCCGTTTATAAGCACTAAAATCTGTCAATAATGGGATATTATGAGGCAGCACTTGCTTTAGTGTTTTAGCCAAAATGTTTTCCTGCCAAAGTTCATCCAACTATTTAAACAGACCATAAAAATGAAAATCTTTTCAACCACACAAACGCATACAGACACACTGACAGGGATCACACAACGGGCATGATGCAATGGTTTAGTCTCATGCAGTTGGTTACTGTAAGCACAACAATACTTAAATGTGAATTCCTGGAGGGATAATACTTACATCTCTAAACAAATAAAAAGGCCCTTGAGTAAAGAAAAGGGATTGTTATTGGCCAAGTGGTAAGAAAACATATTCTAATAATAAGCACGTATGTAAAATTCAAGGAAAATTGATGGAAACCTTGTGTGTGTGGTCAGCAAATAGTGACAGAGTGTGTTCAACAGAAGACAGAGCCACTTTCTTTTCATTAAGAGTGAGGGGAGAGGCAGGCTGTGAGAGCCCTGGGCTGGTCAGTAATTAAGGTCAATTGGCCCATCAGCCTGTGGCAGTACAGATGAATGTTTACCCAGAGTGAGGCTAATTGCACTCTTATAAAAGGGGCCCGGGGTGTAGACAGATGCATGCTGGAGTGCTGGCTCTCACACTCTCACACATACTGCCCCATGCTGGGAAAACCACAAACATACCAGAGGGCACGGCAATAATCCACTCAGCCGTGCCACTAATGACTGCAGAGGAGCTACCACCTCAGTTCTCGACTGTCTGAGAAGCGCAGTTTGCGGCTGAGGGACGGATAGAGGTGGCAGTAGAGAGAAGAAGTGAGGGGGTGGGGGAAAATTAAGGGAGGGGTCCCATTAGGTTACTCAACACTCAGAGGTTGGGAGTGGGTTTACCATCAGTGATCAATTAGACATGAAGTCAGGTTTCAGGCCCAGGGGAGGGGGCTGAAAGGACAGCAGCTACAGGGTTAAAGGTTATCAGGGAATCCAGATAATGGCCTTGCCGGAGGGAGGGAGTAAAACTCAGCACAGAGCCATCCGATCTCCAGTAGGAGGCACTATCTACCGCCACAATAAAGTGGCCAGAGTCTGACCCTGCAACACTCTGCACCCTCTTTACTACTCTGCTTCTACAAAAACCACAAAATCAGTTTATGTCCAACATGTCAAGAATAATGTATGTAAAAGTACAGTCAAATTGAGGCCGACTTACCACCAACATTTTGGATAAGAATGGCAACTCCAACTAGAAACTAAAAGAGAATTGTGAAAAGGTTATTGTCAATAAGTTTTCTAGTCATGTTGCAAATATAAGTGTGTGGATTTCTTTTTTTTTTTTTGACTCACACTAATCCAAAAGTAAACACTTACTTTTCCTGGCTTTTGCAAGGCTCTCCCTCCAAGGCCTTCATATGAATTGATGCCTATGAGAGTCAAAAAGAGTCAAAAACAATCAGACATACTCAACCACTCAAAGATAAAAAATAAATGAATAAAAAAAAAAAAAATCAGACCAAGATGGTGTTAACATCACAAAACTTTCAACACTAGTCCACATGCCAGTTTTATCTCCTTTTATCTCCTCTCTTGGCTCCTTTGATGCCTTTTCAAATATTATTTAAACATCATCTGATCCAAACACAACTAGGAAGTAAATAAAGACAAAAAACAAAGAGACAAAGGAATAGCGTGGTCTTAAAGCAAGTAGCTTCCTTACACAGTGATTTAATCATGAGTAAGGGGGTTAGTCCAGGGTGTGGGTAAAAAAAACTGGATGAAACCTTCTGGATAAAGTCATCATGTTAAACTGTGAGTCTCTCACCTGTTTGGTCACATAGCTTCAGAAGGAGATGTATAGAGTACGCTGCCAGGCTGGACACTAGTACCAACAGGATACTAGAGAGGAGCAGAGATCAGTGTACATGTAGTCGAATTTACTTACTATTTATTTGGGAAGCTGGAAGCAGATATTTGAGCAGCACTATGGTAGAAGGTGTAATAAGAGCATTCTTACCAGAAACCAACTATGCCAGTGTTAGCCATAGCATAAGCTAGACCCAGTATACCGCTGCCCATGATGGCATTCATCAGGTTAAACACAGAGGAGGCGAAGGAAGCTCCTTTGGCCCTGGTCTGCACTGATCCCTGCATACACAGAAGAGATAACACACTGATGTAGCTAGATAGCTGAATAGCTAGACAGATGGATAAAAGACAAAGAAGTAAAACAGTGAGAGTGAAGACAACGTGCAGCAGAAGAAATCTGGTTATTTCTGTAAGAGCTTATAGAGAATTGCACCTGACGGTATTAAGAACAACTGGCCAGCCCTGATGATGGATGTCATGAACAAACACTGCAGTGGCATGCAGGATCAGGGAATGGAAATGGGAATGGATGGGGTGGGATTTGAGCTGTTGGCTGTGGGACAGCTGCCTGAGCTCAGGATAAGGGGAGCTGCCCGCACTGCTTGACCTCTTTAATAGGGGATATCCTGGAGAGAACGAGTGGCAACTCTGGTGTCAGTGTCACAGCAAGCTCAGATTGACCTGCGGGCCGCTGAATCTGATTCACGCTGGGTTACAGTAGTGAGAAATAGAAAGTAAACTATGACACCAGATGTATGAATATGTAGACTGTCTGCAGTGAAAAAAAAAATCAAATGCTGCAAGTTAAATTAAACTGATATAAAAATACTGAGAATGTGACTTTTAAAATAAAGACACACCAGCAAAATAATGTGAAATGACAGAAACAAAATAATGCATTAATATAGATTAATTTGACACAATCTTATTCCTGTTCAGGGTCACAGTGGGTTGAAGCATATCCCAGCATGCATGGTCACCTCCAGCACAGTGCTGAGTGAAACAACAAGTCTACCAGTAATATACACAAATCACTGCTCATCTGACATGGTGTCTTTTCTATTTGATGTCCTGTGATTGGTTTCAGATTGGTGATAGGATTAATCTAGATCGCATGTCAACTCTTTTGAGACACGTTTTACCATGAGTGGATTAATCAAGTAATTTTACATGGCAATGTGTCATTCAATGAAGTTCAAAGCTACGTGTTTTCACTGCGTGTTTCTCACATGAAAGCAGTAAATGAATCACACTCATTGATAAATCTCATTATGAATTGGGGTTATTCACTCACATTCATCCACTTACACCACATGGATCCAAATTTGTCTGCTTCTGCATTTCATAAATCTGATCCATTTGCTCCTTTGTTCAACATCAGGGAGAGAGAAGACTACAAATGCCAAAGCGACTCCACAGATGGAGAATAATGGAACAACTGCAAGCACTGATTAGCACTGACAGCGCCCATAGAGACTTTATTGGAAAACTGACCAAGCCCAACCAGATGAGATTAATTCAAATAAACCTTTCTGAATTTCAAACAAAAACTATTGGAGCTCACAGAACCAACAACTAGAATAGGTCTAAAAAGTATTGCAGTCAGTGATACCGTCATCATCAATACACAGCTTGATAGGGTCAAAGCTGGCACTGAGGACACCAAGGTTATGTCCTCTGTAGAAATTATATCAATTTTAGGAGGAGTTTACATTCAAGTATAGAGAAATGACCCATGGTGTGCTTTAAGGCTGGTTCTGATAGTCTTTAGAGTCAATATCTTTAAATGTGTAGTAAATAGACTTTGGAAATCTACCTCCAGACCCACAGAACATATTACATAACTGTTTTAATGTAATGTGTGCTACTAATCATGATGAGCAAATGTGAGTAGAAATCACTGCAGTTCCCCTTTAGATACAAAATATTCTATTTTTATTCTAGCAAGTACAATAAGTATTTGTTTTAGGTACATTTTTCACAAATTCAATAAAACAAGAAACAACCTTACAGTTTTTCAGTACTTGTTTCATGTGTAGCACTGAAGGAACGCAGTCTTAATCCCTGTATACTGGCTATGGAGAGAATGACTTTAAATTCTACCCTCTAAATGACACATAATTTATTCTTATTTGCATAGGACATAAATGGATATATTCTCAGTGGGAAATAATCATTAAAATGCCATAACTGAATTGCTGACTTAGGGTTGAATTTCGTTATAAATGCTGACAAAGCAAACAGAAAGGGAACTGGTTTACAACAAGCATGTGACTCCTGACACAACCGATAGTTTGTCAGTTTACAAAAACTACTGATGCTGCAAAGTTCATATATTCAGACTGAAGCAAGCTGTGAAACAAGTGACGGTCCTGTTTTTGTACTTACATTTGGTAATAAAGGAGAAGTTTCGTTGTCTCCTGTGTTCCCGGCGATGCACTCACTGTATAAATCTGCGTTTCTATTTCCATTAACACTCATTTTCTACTCCGGAAAACTCAAAGACAACAAACTACAAGAAACAAAAACCTCACTGTTCCGTGACTGACCTCGCAACCCCGACAGTTAACGTCAGTATGAAACCATTCTCTCTTAAATCACTTTTAAATCTCCTCTTATCAACTCATCAGCTGTTGAATGTTGTTGTTGACCACTCGGGTCATGTGCCTCTCTCTTCCGTCGCTTTTACAACGTCACCGAGGAGACCGTCCAATAACGAATCGACTCTCCGCCCGTTTGACCAATCACCAGTCAGCTCCGGTCTAACACCGATGACACAATTCAAGCGTGCCGGAGAGCGGAGGATGTCGAGGTCTGAACACATGAGTGCGGATTTTCTCGATAACAACCGCATAATTATTACTTTTTATGTCATATGTTGCTAGATTTGTGCTAAAGCTAACACTATGTAATATGTGTTTCACTTTTCTGCTTCTGTTTCAGGCTGCTCAGCAGAGTCTTAACATCTGCACAAACTCATAGAAACCTAACATCTGCTGCTGTACATCGGAGCCTTCGGTCCGCTGCCTCTCTGCCAGCCTCAGCCTGTCCTGGCTCTGCTGTGAAGCCCTTAATGGAGCCTAAACTGTACCAGGCCCCTCCAGAGGTCCGGGGTATGACCTCTCTCGACAAAGAGGCCTTCACACAGACCATTGCAGTCCCAGCTCTACGCGTGCCCACTGGGGTCTTAAACAAAGTGATGAAAAGCCTGAAAAAGTCGACTATCCAGCGGCCAGGGTTGCCCAGAGTGGTACAAGATACAGAGGAGAGCAGTGACTTTCGTTTAGTGCTGTTGGACCCTCACAGAGTGTCCTCGAAAAGCTCCTTCTCTGAGGCTGAAGCTGAGGCTCTGAGGTCTTTCAGTGTCGCTGAGGAGCTGCAGTACTATGAGCTGCAACTGACCTACAACAACCTGAAGAGTGAGGAAGTGCTGGGGGCCGTGCTCCCTCAGGGGCAAGATGTGACCTCTGGGTTCAGCCGGGTGGGACACATCGCACACATGAACCTAAGGGACCACCAGCTCCCGTATAAGAACCTCATAGGTAAGATGGAGATGTTGCAACAGCAGGATTTCGGTGCAAAGTAATATACAGATGGGTGGCACATTAAAGTAAGATGTTGGCTTCAACACACCTTGACAAAGATTCTCCAAGTCTCTCAACTATACTGGAGAGATGGACGTCATTTGTTAAGATATTCTCTTATGTGAAGGCCAGAGCATTTTCATACTGATCAAAACCACCCTCGTTTTGTCCCCCCACTCATTTATTCAGGTTTTACTTTTAATTTGTCACCTGTCTGCATCTAAGTTTTTGTCAGCTGTTCATTACTGTCTCTGTTATAAGTGACTGCATCCATGAAAAATACAAACATATGATATTATCATATGAGTATATTGTATTGTATGTACATTAACAGTTTAATGTACCTGGAATGGATATTTTAATCTCATGACCAATTTATCCTTTATAGATTCTGTTTTATACAAAATCTTCCCCTTTTCTTAAATGATTAATACTCACAATTTCTGCTTTTTCTTAGTTTTATTTATTCAGTTAGTTGACTTTGGCTCCACGGCAAAACTAGAATACTAATGAGGCAAAGTGGGCAGCTACCCCAGAGGCTCAGAAGGACCCATAACCATATTGTCTCACTTGCTTTGTGATGATTTGATTAACTGCAAGTTTGCTTGGGGATATGCCCCCAAATTAACTCCCTGTTTTAGCTTGAAAACACTTCCTTCAAATATTCTTAAAATTCCTTCAAATCTAAGGCCATGGTTCATTTTCCTACTCCTCTTCTAGACAGAAACACTTTATATCAGCTGCCAGGGAAGTTTTGGATTTTCAGTGTATTTATATATTTAGAGCTGTGACATGGTATTACAGTCAAAGATAGAATTAAGAATATTAATTTTAAAAGTATTGTTAAATTTTTATATATTTCTGAATTCCTAAATCAAGCCCAAACTCAGGACAACCATAGTTAATAAACAAAGATCAGGGTTAGACAGATATATTCACTGCCACAACTTGTCTGTTGCTTCCACTGTAGGTCAAGTTATCATGGACAAAACCCCCGGTATCACCTGTGTGGTCAATAAAACAAACATAATCGACTCAACTTACCGCAACTTCAAGATGGAGGTGCTAGCTGGAGAGGAGAACATGGTCACCAAAGTAAGTTACACATGTTAATGATACATACACACAGTATGTACAGTACATTTAATTGCCTACTTCAGTTATTCTTAAATGTATTCAGAACATCCAGAGTTTTAGAGAGGACTCTAATGCTCATCATCATTTATCTGTGTGTTGCAGGTGAAAGAAAATGGGGTAACATATGAGTTTGATTTCTCTCGTGTGTACTGGAACCCCCGGCTGAGCACAGAGCACCAGCGTGTGGTGGAGCTCATCAAACGTGGTGACACCGTGCTGGATGTGTTTGCTGGTGTCGGACCCTTCGCCATCCCTGCTGCCCGCTCGGGTGCCAATGTGTTGGCCAATGATCTGAACCCAGAGTCCTACCGATGGCTGCAGCACAACTGCAAGCTCAACAAGGTGGAGAGCAAAGTCCGCACGTTTAACCTGGACGGCAGAGGGTTCATCCAGGGACCTGTGAAGCAGGAGCTGCCTGCGCTTATGAAGGGAAAAGCCAATGTTCACGTGGTGATGAACCTGCCTGCCTTGGCTTTAGAGTTCCTGGATGCATTCAGAGGCCTCCTGCACCAGGAGCCTCCCTGTGATGAGAACTTACCCACAGTGTACTGCTACAGCTTCTCTAAAGACAAAAACCATGACGCGGATGTGGTGAAGAGAGCGTCCCGCAGCCTCGGGTTCCCCCTGGAGAACAGATGCTCTGTGCATTTTGTGCGTAATGTAGCACCCAACAAAGATATGATGTGTGTGAGATTCACACTCCCTAAAGAGGTCCTCTTCAGCTGCAATGATGAACAGACAGGTGAGAATTAATTTACAAAATGGTGAGGAATTCAATAATAAACTGATAATGACTTCAGTATGAAAACTAAACATTTAAATGTGAACATGAATACCGTTTATAGTAGAAGGCCACAGAGCCAGCTGGTGCTGTTTGGACACAGAAGGTGTGGAGGAAATTGAACCTCTGGGATAATTGTGATGAGAATTTTTCACTGATGTTTTACTATAATGTTTTACAATAATCAGCAGATTAATCAATAATGAAATATAAAAATAATGAAAATAATCTTTAGTTGCAGCACTAATTTAGACAGTCATTGTGGCAGTTTTTTGGTATGCTGTGTATGTTTTAGTTTACTGCCACATAGGCCGAAGATTGTTTTCCAGCTCGGGACAATAAAGTTTTATTTTGTTCTGTTCACCTCCAAACATTTCTTTTGTGTATCCACAGAGCCCTCGGAGGAACCAGCCCCAAAGAGACAAAAGTGTGAAGAAACTACAGATTCAACATAATAAATCATCACAAAGAAACATTTGAGACTTTTTTTTTTTAATGAGAAAGTATGAGTTTAATTGTTGCATCTGTTACAGATGTCAAAGCATCTTGTCATCAGAAACCATAACTCAGCTTTGGTTTAATACTTTATCTCCCCTTTGTTCGTACCAGCATGTATTAGAACTGTTATTACTCAGGGCTTGAGATGTTAATGTCCTGACTTGTTTCATTTTTAAATAAATCTGTACAATAATAGACAGACACTCAGTGTTCATTGTGATTTATTTAAATATAAAATTAACACAAAGTATAAAAAGTCATATACAACTTGACCAAAAGTGAGTCAGATCATCACAACCACAGCAGCACTCCACAGAGGTAGCAGGGCAGTGTTTATAGTCCAGTCAGTGACATTCCTATCCAGTAGCTGTTGTTACTCTGTGAGCTCTGTGTGGCTTTATCCTTTTGAAGGGAACAGCCCACTGAAAGCATCCTGAACGGCTCGATGACACGCCAAAGCCGAGGTGTATCCTCCAGCTGTGTCCTGAGGCATGGCAGCCCGCACGTGGTTCAGATACCTGAGAACACACAGAGAGCTGTGGTCAGTAACAGGAGTGAGGTATTTTGTAAATAATGTGACTGACTAGCAGCCTGAGAGCTGGTTTCAAAAAAGTAGTTCCTGTGAGTGTAACTTGAGGGTAAGTTTATTCTTCATTAAATCCACACTTGAAGTTATTTTTTCTGGCTCTCTGGGACCCTTTGGCCCTTTGATGAGATCAACGAAGACAGACGTACCCATACCCTAACACTGGAACACCTTGTGCCTAAAAACCTCTCCAACATGGCTCTATTAAAGTATTATAGGTGTCTTTTATTTTTTAAGTGCTTACAGATGTATCCTGCCAAAGCCCCTTTTCAGGTTCTTAAGCAAAGCCAAAAGTCACTGTTTATTTTCACATTGGCGCAAAGACAGAAAAACAGTCGAGCTATTAATGTAGTCTCCACATCTTGTCCCCACAGTGATAGATGCCCTTGTACTAATGAGTGTGTGTTTGTTGGAGGGGGGGGGGGGTTGTTAACCTATGTCCCCACTCTAATCCTTCCTCCACTGTTGTGTGCCATCAAAAAGCAGTCATCGGCGGAGAAACCACATGTTCTGTACTTCTTTCCAGAAGCATCTGACTACAAAGCTAAAAAAGCAAAGTCCTCCAACAACTGAGACAACACGTAGCCTTGCCCATCAATACCGCCTCCCCCCCGCCCTACCCCACACCCCCCACCTTGCAGGACTCATAGTCCTGGCAGAGAGAGGTATAAAGCCCTCACACGAGTCTGGCTTTGTGGCCCTTGTTCCTGTGAGCCGGGGAAACTTCAAAGTGAAACGGGAATCAAGAGCACAGACAGCCCTCTGTGATTTCTGTGCCCATTCAAGCTGCTTTACAGAGTAACCTAACACCTGTGGGGAGGCTCAGACTGAGAGAGTCGAGGCGCGCGTGTGTGTGTGTGCGTGTGTGTGAATGAGAGATGGACAGGGAGTAAAAGGTGTCGGTAAGACTGCACGCTGAATAGATCATATTTTTTGCTTTGGTGTTTTATGATTCTTCAAGGTATTTTGGTCGTTTTCTTGTAACACTATAAATCCTTGACTGAAAAATTAAGTTGAAACATATTTGCTGGCATGACTGTGACACAAAGACATAAAGTCAAACATGCATGAATATCACACGCGGGAGATGACCTTGTCAAGTCTTATATAACAGACAGTGAAAGTGAGAAGAAGAGCAGCAAGAGATGTCAGTCAGGTCTTGCACACAAAGACCACTCATCACCCACTAGAGAAACAACACACAAGTTCAAAACAGGAGGCCCAGTGATTAATAATAACTTCATTAGGCCCAAGCTGCTGTAGCCTGTCCTTCAGAGCACTTGAGGGAGGTCTTCTCATATGGCTTCCTGCATCAGATGAGTGCTATCTATTGATTATATTGTACTGGGCCTTTTTAATGGTGAAAAAAGTGGGCTATTTACAGCCCGGCTAAGTCTGCTCTTCCTGCTAATCTAATCCCCAAGCTACTCATGTGGTCATTCCTTCCAAGAAAGCTGAGAGCTCTGTGTAACTTTATACCTGCCTGCCCCTAAGGAGAGAGAGGGAGCAAAAGAGCAAAAAGAGAACATGAAGGAGAGGGAGAGGGAGGGAGAGGGTGAGGAGTGTAGGTGGAGGGGTGGGAAGTCGAAAGAGGAGGGAGGATATGAGGTGAAATCACCTTTGGGTATCATCATCACAAACGCTCTTCTCTTAAACCAACCCTGTCTGCCCTCTGCTCACCCCTAACACCCAAGGTTAGTTCAGTTCTGCTCCATTAACTCAGTGGCTGTATCCGCATCTTCCCGTAAAGGCCAGCCACATACATGTACGTACACATAACCGGCTATAGATGTTCGTGAAGCTGAAAGATAAACTCGACTCTGTTCACATGACCGTACTTGACAATGCTGAGAAAGAGCGAACTGACAACACCTAAGACATGCAACAACAAGAAATGCATTCAAAATGCGCAGCATGCTTTTACAAAAACAGGCAGGCTCTTTACACTGCCTTCAATCATAAAACGCAATACAACACACACACACACATACACACACTACCCCTGTGGAACAGACGCTTTGAGCCCCTCCGACGCTACTGTTTCACTGTGTGCACCAACACTCTCCACGCACTCCTACCCCATCACCCCCACCCCACCCCATGGGGCGGTGCGGAGGTGTGGTTAGGATGGGTGATTGGGGTGAAGGAGTGCGTGTGGAGAGTGTTGGCTGACAAGACAGCCGATGTGGAAAGGAGAGAGTGCTATCGGAGGGCGGAGCTCACAAAGACGGTGCTGCTCTTCCATCATGGGCGCTAACCTGTGCATATGTATGTGTGTAGGTGTACTATCGTCGATTGTATATATTACTAGAAGGTGAGTAGACGCCTGGATGACTTTTATATTCGTGAAGAGAGATTGGGATACGATGTTGCCTAGCAGTATTCATAGTAAGGTCTTGTGTTCAGTTCGTCTGTGTCTCAGCGCAGTGTTCAAGAGATCATTTACTCAGAGATGAGCAGTAAGTTATTCTCATCTGCAGTGACTTCACGGCTAACGAATCATGCTATATAGACGCTTCATCGCTGTAGTGGACATGTATGTGGCTCGGTTTTGAGAGTAGATACACGCCATCATTAATGAGCAGAACTGAACTAACCTTGGGTGTTAGGGGTGAGCAGAGGGCAGACAGTGGTTTAAGAAGAAGAGCGTTTGTGATGATGATACCCAAAGGTGATTTCACCTCATATCCTCCCTCCTCTTTCGACTTCCTCACCCCTCCACCTACACTCCTCAACTTCCCTTCCCTCTCCCTCTCCTCTTCATGTTCTCCTTTTTGCTCTTTTGCTCCTCTCTCTCCTCCAGGGGCAGGCAGGTAATATAATTACAACAGAGCTCTCAGCTTTCTTGGAAGGAATGACCACATGAGTAGCTTGGGGATTAGATTAGCAGGAAGAGCAGACTTAGCCGGGCTGTAAATAGCCCACTTTTTTCACCATTAAAAAGGCCCAGTACAATATAATCAATAGATAGCACTCATCTGATGCAGGAAGCATATGAGAAGACCTCCCTCAAGTGCTCTGAAGAGCAGGCTACAGCAGCTTGGGCCTAATGAAGTTATTATTAATCACGTTGCCTCCTGTTTTGAACTTGTGTGTTGTTTCTCTAAGTGGGGATGGAGGGTCTTTGTGTGCAGAGACCTACTGCACTCTCTTGCTGCTCTTCTTCTCACTATAGTCTGTTATATAAGACTTGACAAGGTGCATCTCCGGTGTGATATTCATGCATGTTTGACTTTATGTCTTTGTGTCACAGTCATGCCAGCAAATATGTATAACTTAATTTTTTCAGTACATCAAGGATTATAGTGTTACAAGAAAACGACCAAAAATACCTTGAAGAATCATAAAACACAAAAGCAAAAATAATGATCTATCAGTTCGTGCAGTCTTACGCGACACCTTACTATCCTGTCCATCTCTCATTCACACACACGCCAACCACACACACGCGCGCCTCGACTCTCTCAGTCTGAGCCTCCCCACAGGTGTTAGGTTACTCTGTAAAGCAGCTTGAATGGGCACAGAAATCACAGAGGGCTGTCTGTGCTCTTGATTCCCGTTTCACTTTGAAGTTTCCCCGGCTCACAGGAACAAGGGCCACAAAGCCAGACTCGTGTGAGGGCTTTATACCTCTCTCTGCCAGGACTATGAGTCCTGCAAGGTGGGGGTGTGGGGTAGGGCGGGGGGAGGCGGTATTGATGGGCAAGGCTACGTGTTGTCTCAGTTGTTGGAGGACTTTGCTTTTTTTAGCTTTGTAGTCAGATGCTTCTGGAAAGAAGTACAGAACATGTGGTTTCTCCGCCGATGACTGCTTTTTGATGGCACACAACAGTGGAGGAAGGATTAGAGTGGGGACATAGGTTCACAACCCCCCCCCCTCCAACAAACACAACACTCATTAGTACAAGGGCATCTATCACTGTGGGGACAAGATGTGGAGACTACATTAACTAGCTCGACTGTTTTCTGTCTTTGCGCCAATGTGAAAATATACAGTGACTTTTGGCTTTGCTTAAGAACCTGAAAAGGGCTTTGGCAGGATACATCTGTAAGCACTTAAAAAATAAGACACCTATAATACTTTAATAGAGCCATGTTAGAGAGGTTTTTAGGGCACAACGGTGTTCCAGTGTTAGGGTATGGTACGTCTGTCTTCGTTGATCTCATCAAAGGGCCAAAGGGTCCAGAGAGCCAGAAAAAATAACTTCAAGTGTGGATTTAATGAAGAATAAACTTACCCTCAAGTTACACTCACAGGAACTACTTTTTTGAAAACCAGCTCTCAGGCTGCTAGTCAGTCACATTATTTACAAATACTACTCCTGTTACTGACCACAGCTCTCTGTGTGTTTCAGGTATCTGAACCGTGCGGGCTGCCATGCCTCAGACACAGCT